TTTTTAAATCATATGATATTGTTTTAACCTGGCACTTGTGCCCTGTAAGCCGCCCTGAGCCTTCGGGGTAGGGCGGTGTATAAATTTAAATATAAATAAATAAATAAATAAATAAATAAATAAATAAATAAATAAATAATGGTAACATTCGACACCGTCGACTATGATTTCCTGACCCCACTGCCTCCCTGACATCAGGATATGAGGGACTGCTTTACAATGACTTTCCTCCTTCCTTCATGTTCGGGGTTCGTGATCCTGTTTTTTGAGGATCACGAAACCGCGGGGAAAATCGGGCGAAGCTGTGGGTTAAAATGCGGCCACACGGCTTCGAGTGGGAAATTGACCAATAGATGCGGGGCAAAGGGAGGCGCGACCGCGGCGCAGCTCTTGTGCGAAATCGGTCAAAATTCCCTCTCCTTCCTCCCCCTCTCTGGTTTGCCCTCCTGGCAGGGGCAGCTTTGGCCCTGTAAAGGGGGCCCTGCCCCCAGCCCCGTCCTGGCCTCACCTCCCCAAAAGGAGGCCGGGAGCACGAGAGAGTCAGCTGGTCAGCCCCACAACCAATGCACCCTCTAAGCTGTGGAGTCTTGTGAGCAAAGATTCTACTTCGTGAGCTACTGGCATTAATGTTGTGAGCGAGCGATTTGGCTGCTGCATAAATTAGTTTGCTCTGGAGCCCTCCTTCCTGAGCTGGGACAAAAATGTGTAAGTTGGAGGCTAAAAAACTGTGAGCTAGCTCACACTCACTCAGCTTAGAGGGAACACTGCCCACAACCATTGTTGTTCTGTAGAACTGTGAATTACTGATTTATTTAGAAAATATATATGCTGTTCCTCCAGACGTGGTCTGCTTCCGATCAGAATTGCAGCAAGGCATAACAATATTTTACTCTTTCCAATGAATTCCTCTCTCTTTTTTTTGTTTTTTTGCATTTGTGTGTATGCATGCGTGTGTGTTTGCCCATGCCTGGAAGTCATGGCGACCTCTGGCGACTCCTACTGGGCCATGGAGGACGTCCAGAGATGTGGCTTGATAGCCTGCCTCTGCCTCCTGGCCCCGGAATTCTCTGGAGGTCTCCCATCCAAATACTTGCCAGGGTCGGACCTGCTTCGCTTCCAAGATCTGACAAGATGGGGCTTGCCTGGGCTATCCAGGTCAGGGCTGTTTCCATATGTCTGTAAACGTTAGCCTAGCTAACTATCACTACGTGTCGTGCAATCTCACAGTACTTTACAGAAACAGCAACAGCCTAGTCAAGCAGGTGGTTTCCACAGGGGGGCCGGCTAGGGTGGCTTTGCTGCTGCTCCCGCCGCTTCGGATATAGTGCAGCGGCAAGAGGGCTTCCTCCACCCGGCGGGTTTCCCTGCCTGCAGGCTCCCAGCACTGGCCCCCCATCAGCAGCTCCCCCCCCTTCCTGCAGGCCAACAACTGAATATTGTGAGAACGTTATAACCACATGTGCACCCCAGGTTCTCCAAATTCTTTGTTTTTTATTAGTTTATTTATTTCATTTCCTCCCCCACAAGAACGTTGCCTCTCTGTTGCCAGTCCTAGAACAAAGTTGTATAATTGTTTATTATAATAAAAAAGGAAAAATGAATGAAAGAATCAATGAATGAATGAGAAAGGTGGACTATAAATAAACGTTTAGTACCTTTCCCCCCACATTAGTTAAGCAAACTCTCTTCCTTACTATCTCAGTAGAAGATATAAAGTGCAGACTAATAAATAATTACTTAAGTTAATTACATCAGTTTTATTTGTAAGTTAGTCTATAAGGATGAGTGTGCAGCTTACATCATAAGCCCCCCTGCCCCCTTTAGCCACCTTGCCCTGAGCCCACGCGCCCCGCCCAGCTTGCCAGGCCTCCGTCTCCTGACCTGGCTAGATAACTGAACCACAGAAACTGCATTCCTTGCAACATTCTGATCTGGACATGGATATTCAATGATCCCACACCAGTTCAGCCAGTGGCCATGTGGGGTTGCAAGAAGGCCGGCAACGTGACAGTAATTTTCACCCTCTTATAGACAAACTTATAGACAAAACTGAAGGTCAAAGAAGACGGGGACGGCAAAGGATGAGGTGCTTAGACAGTGTCATCGATGCAACGAACATGAAATTGAGCAAACTTCAGAGGACGGTGGAAGACCGGAAGGCCTGGCGTGATCTGGCCCATGGGGTCGTGAAGAGTCGGACTCGACTGTGCGACTGAACCACAACAAATAGACAAACTAAACTACGCACCTGTCAGGTAGGTATTAGAGGTGGCATTTGGTTTTTTCTTGCAGATATAAGGCAAGGCAATGCTGCAGTCCCGGTTTTGCCATCCCCCTGACGATTCAGTCCGGATCACTCCACAGTTCTCCTCATGGGGGTTGTCTGGCTGACCTACACAGAGAAGGAGGGTTGGCACCAGGGGGGAGATCACCCACCTCTACGACTTCAGCGGGAAGCCACAGATTAAGACTGGCACAGCACTGGGCCAGAGGCAAGGCATGTTTCAGGATTGCCTAGGCCCACTTCAGGGCAGCTTCCAATGCGATTTGGAGACTGAAACTGCCCTGGTCGTTCTCTAAGGCCGCTTTCACCAGGAGGGCAAAAGGGTGAGGGAAACCCTGGCCATGCTTCTGGATTTCTCAGCAGCCTTCAGAAGGGTGTCCTTCTACTCTAGCTGTCTGAGATGGGAATCAGGAGCACTGAGCTCTGCGCGGCTTCAGTTCTAGCTCTGGGCGGTGGTGAGCATTTATGGGATTCTATAGCCTGCCTCCAGCGCTATTGCATGCCTCCATGCTTGGGAGGTCACTCGGAGACAAGGAGCGTGGTGTCGTCAACCTGCTGACGGCTCACAACGCGACTTCTCCTTTTCTTCCAGCTTAGTTGAGTTTGACAGTCTGAACAGGTTCTGCAGCTCGGATGGGAGCCAATAATCTGAAGCTCAAACCAAAGGCTTTGGTATAGTTGGCTGGTGATGTACCAATTAAGAATAGATGCTACATCTTCTTCTGGCTGGTGTTACACTCAATTTAAGGCTCAGTGGCATGGCTTAGGGATACTATAAGAATCAACCTTGCAGATGGAATCCAAGTGCCAGCCATGGCACACAGTTCCTTTGGCACACTTTAGGTGGCATGCCAGCTACAGCTCTTCTGGTCCATTCACTGATGAACCTTCAAAATGGGTAACTGTGTTTTAAACAGAGCTGCTCATGTTCGCTCTTTGAAATCTCAGCTGGTACACAGTACAATGCTGTCTACAGATACTAACTGAACACATCTCACCAGCTTCTCTAGCTACCCATTTATTTCTGGACAAATTTCAAAGTGCTAGTTTTGGCCTACAAAACTTGAAGGAACTTGGGATCGCAGGGCCGGCTCACTCACTAGGCGAACTAGGCGGTCGCCTAAAGCGGGCCGGCCCTTAGGGGCGCCAAAATGCAACCGGCCTCGTACTCTGAATGTTTCTTGATTATTTGTGTTTTTCATTCTTCCTAAAATGCATGTATTTTTGAAAATTGGTGGGCACACGGGGGGGGGGCGCCAGAAGGGATCCTCGCCTAGGGTGCAAAATAAGCTGGGCCAGCCCTGGATCCAAGTATCTGAAAGATCCTCCTGTTCCTTCTCAAACTCCCTGACTTAAGTTCTCCATAAGAAGGCCGGATCCGGTGGCTGCCAAGGAAAGGACCATTTCTGCCACGGTGGCTTGCCCACAACCCTGGCGACGCATGTCTCCTGCTCTTCTCTACAGGGAATCTTGGCTATTTTAAAACAAAAAGTTGTTGTTTTACACTATACTATAAGTTGCCTTCAGGACCCCAAGGAACATAAATATGTTAAGCAAAAAAATAAATGATTTACTATTTGTTGTGAGATAGTGAAGCCGCATTCTCACAAGACGGGCTTTCCAGCTTCTGTTGTTGGTTTTGAAAAGGGCAGGGGGGATTTCTATCACACTGCCAAAGAACTGGGTTTACATACTGGGGACCTGAATTCAAATTCCTGCTCAGTCATGACAACTGTGGGGGTGTTTTGGTAATAAACCACTCAAAATTGTAGAGCTTGGTGGGAAAGGCCAGGCTGAGGGCAATACCAGTGATCCATTTGGGTTGGGGGCACGTGCATCCATCGTGGACACCGTACAGCCTCGCTGCAAGGCCACTTTTTAATATCCCATTGGTCTTTACCATAAAGGCAAACTTTTTTGAATTGTAGAATTCCTGGTTCAATCCAGAGACAGTTAAAGAACTGGGATCCCATTGATGACAATGCATTCCATCTTCACTGATGACATGTCTTGCCAGGGCTTTTTTTGTAAAAAAGAAGCCCAACAGGAGCTCATTAGCATAATAGGCCACACCCAACAGCAGAAATGCATTAGCATATTAGGCTACACCCCATGCCTTCCCTTGGCTTGCCTGGGTGCCCCGCAGTTGCGGGGAGCCTGGGCAAGCCCCCCCTTGAAGGGAAGGGAAGGGAAGGCAGCCATGGGGCGCCCGGGCAAGCCGGCCCTTGGACAGGCCGGGGAAGACACAGGGAGGCATTTAAAAGCCTCCCTGATCCTTCCACACACATCCCGGCCTGCCCGCCTTGGAGTCGCCAGTGGGGTCACTCTCCAGGCCTTCCCTCTATAGCCATGCATGCAGAGGTTTTGGCTGTAGTGGGCGTGGCCAGCTCTGAAGCCAGCCGGAACTCTGTTCCTGTGCGTTCCTGCCCACAAATAGCCCTGTGTCTTGCTGATATTCTTTGACACACACCCCCTTCCTGACTTACCATTCTCCCAGTTGAGGAACTTCAAGGGTGCGTTGTCTGACCACTGCCAGCCCCCGTTCAGGTCCAGATCATTAAGTCCAATCCAGAGGGTGGAACTATAACCCGTCAGCAGTCCTGGCAAAGAGAGGGAGGCTGTGGTTAGATGGGCAGTTTGGCCCAATATAGTTGCCGTTCCCTTACGGATTAAATGGGCCACATCTGGTGCCCACATCACACATCCACATCTGGTGCCCATCCGCCAGTCATACTCACCCCATCGCACGATGAGCTGGATGTGGAGTAAACAGCCACCAGAGAAAGTCCGGTGCTTAGGATGTCCGGGAATTCATCCCGCGTTTCCAGATGTCTGAACTCCCCTCTTGCAAAGTCAAGCTGTTCGGGAAGTCTGAACCTTCCCTTCTGTTTCCGCCTCCTTTTTTCTTTTGGATAAGGTAGCGATGTGTGCATAAGTGCATCATCGCCCCTGGCGTCGTCAATCTCTCTGGCCAAGTAGTCATTCCGGATCGGGAGTCCCCAGGGGAGTTGTTTTTGAGCAACAATTCCCCCACCCCAAAAAACCCCTCTCTCCTGTTTCTGCATCAGAGTTTCTGTTTGAGAGCATCCCATGATTGACACAAGGGTAAATGTACTGAAGTCACTGGGACTACTCTCACATAAATTTGCATCCCCCCCTCATGTATTCCAAGGCAAAGGGAGGCAACTGAGAGGGGCTAGAAAACATGGCAGAGGGACAGTGGAGCTGTCAAAAAGGAGCTGTAGCTTTGGATACACACATTTATAAATGGGATCCCATAAATGCACACGGGTGAAAGACCAAAAAAGAAAAAAGGATGCCGCAGCAACCTGAATGATTGACTATGAGGCCAGTGTGTGGTGAAGCCAGTTCACGATGTCTGATCAAAACTTCCCACAACAATATAAACCATCACAAACAGAGGTGTGGCTAGACCATGCCAAGCCTCCAGTGTGACCACAGCCAAAGAATGGCAGAATGCCATAGTATCAGAGCCAACATCTTATGGCCATAATGTTGCCCAAAAAGCAGCAGCCTGGCTGTCCACCCACCTGGCCCAAGTCTCCTCCAGGACTCTCCCCTGCCATCACTCAATGGTGCCCGATGCTCCATATAAGAACATCAGAGAAGCCAATGCCGAGACCTGCAACCCCTCCCTTCCTTTTGCAATAGTTATGAAAATCCTACACTTCTGCAGCATTACAAAAAGGAAAAGAGGGGATCTCCTGGTAGATTTCTCAAGTGATTTCAGGGCTAAAAGCATGGACAGCTTATCAAAAGATAAGCACATGGAGCAGAGGTCCATCTGTGGCTATTAGCCACAAGGTCTAGATAGGGGCTCTGGGGCAAGTGATGCTCTGTCTTCTTGGTGCTTGGGGGGGGGTCAACAGTAGGAGGGCTTCTAATGTCCTGGCCCCACTGCTGGACCTCCTGAGGGCACCTGCTGAGCGGTCGGGTTAGAATGGATAAAAGGAAGTACTTCTTCACCCAAAGAGTGGTTAACACATGGAATTCACTGCCACAGGAAGTGGTGGCGGCTACAAGCATCGACGGCTTCAAAAGGGAATTAAATAAGCCTATAGAGCAGAGGTCCATCAGTGGCTATTAGCAACAAGGTATAGATAGGGGCTCTGGGGCAAGTGATGCTCTGTCTTCTTGGTGCTTGGGGGGGGG